GTTATTCAAATCCTCTGCCATTTCCTGGTTCCTCATTATTTATTTCCCCAGCCTCATTCTCTCAGGGCCCTCTGTTCACTTTGGCTTCTCTTCCTGAGAGGAGGGGTAAAGTGAGGGCTAGTCTGTGAGTGGATAGGTAGGTGAGAGAGAGGGAGGGAGGGAGGGGGCTGGAGATTATTGAACAGGGGGAACAAAGGGACGGGCATCCGGAGAGGACAGGCTGAGGTTTGGGGCATGTCCCCTGCTGTATGGGCAAGGGGCTTGTGATCCTAGAAAGCTGTGCCAGCCCATGTTTGTTCAATGATGTGGGCTCTTCTTCCTGTCTCTTTGTCATTCAGATAGATGCCATGCCAAGGACCAGTACATTAACCAGCTTCACAACACCCTCCAAACAGCTGTCCCCAAGAAATTAGCTGCATTCATCGCTGAACCCATCCAGGTGAGGGTAGAGCAAAGGTCTCAGATACCATCTTCAGAAATCCATCAGGGCTGGGATCCATCGGCACGGTGTAGAGCGGGAGTGAACGGGAAGGGGTTTGGGTCCATTGGGACGGTGTAGATTGGGAGTGAACAGGAAGGGGTTTCAGTTCATAGGGAAGATGTAGGGTCGGAGTGAACGGGAAGGGGTTTGAGGTCCATGGGGACAGTGTAGTGAACGGGAAGGGGTTTGGAGTCCATGGGGACGGTGCAGAGCAGGAGTGAGCGGGAAGGGGTCTGGGGTCAATGGGAATGGTGTAGTGAGCGGGGAAGGGGAATGGGGGCCATAGGGATGGTGTAGAGCAGGAGTGAATGGGAAGGGTTTTGGGGTCCATGGAGACGGTGTAGTGAACAGGAAGGGGTTTGGGGTCCATGGGGATGGTGTAGAGCGGGAGCGAACGGCAAGGGGTTTGGGGTCCGTGGGGATGGTGTAGAGCAGGAGAGAAGGGAAGGCCTTTGTGTCCATGAGGACGGTGTACAGTGGGAGTGAACGGGAAGGAGTTCGTGTCCCTTGGGACGGTGTAGAGCTGCAGTGAACAGGAAGGGGTTTGGGGTCCGTGGTGATGGTGTAGAGCTGCAGTGAACGGAAAGGGTTTCGAGTCCATTGGGACGGTGTACAGTGGGAGTGAATGGGAAGGGGTTTGGGTCTAATGGGATGGTGTAGAATGGGAGTGAATGGGAAGGGGCTTGGTTCCATGGGAACGGTGTACAGTGGGAGTGAACGGGAAGGGTTTCGAGTCCATTGGGACGGTGTAGAGCGGGAGTGAAGGGACGTCATTTGGGTCCATGGGGACGGTGTACGGTGGGAGGGAACGGGAAGGGGTTCGTGTCCCTTGAGACGGTGTAGAGCTGCAGTGAACGGGAAGGAGTTTAGGGTCTGTGCTGATGGTGTACAGTGGGAGTGAATGGGAAGGGATTTGGGTCAACTGGGACAGTGTAGAGTGGGAGTGAACGGGAAGGGGTTTGGGTCCATGGGGACGGTGTATAGTGGGAGTGAACGGGAAGGGATTTGGGTCGATTGGGACGGTGTATAGTGGGAGTGAACGGGAAGGGGTTTGAGTCCA